TCCACTAGTGAGGTGTAATTTGAAAAGTCAGAGGTCCCCTGAGTGGTTATTAGGTAATATTAATGGTCATAACACCTCTGAAGTCAAGAAATTTGTAATTTTATTTTTGTTTTTAATTTACCATTGTTAAGCCACACTAGAGGTATTTTGTACTGAAGCACTATTGTGACTGCAGCATCGCATACACTGTATACGACAGTGGTGGGCGCACACATCTTATATATTATTTCTCTAAGGCGTTTTTTTGTTTGTCTCCCTTTTTCTATTTTTCTATGTAAGCAATTCCACTAATAAGGTGTCATTTGAAAAGTCAGAGGTCCCCTGAGTGGTTATTAGGTAATATTAATGGTCATAATATTATATATCTAAGGTGTTTTTTGTTAGTCTCCCTTTTTCTACTTTTCTATGTTTGCAATTCCACTAATGAGGTGTAATTTCAAAAGTCAGAGATCCACTGAGTGGTTATTAGGTAACATTAATGGTCATAACACCTCTGAAGTCAAGAAATTTGTAATTTTATTTTTGTGTTTAATTTACCATTGTTAAGCCACACTAAAGGTATTTTGTACTGAAGCACTATTGTGACTGCAGTATCGCATACACCGTATACGACAGTGGTGAGCGCACACATGATTCAATAATTAAAGGTTCGATAAACTGACAGTTGTCTCTCTCGCACCGCTCGCTTAGCTCAGATATTATTGTTTCTGTTAAAAAGATATTTAGTCAACGAGTTAATTCTGAATATTTTTTCACCTCAAATATTGTATACAAAGATATATTGCAAGTAACACCATGTTTCTCTCAACTCATTACACTCCGCGAACTATCAGAACAATCTGCTTTTATCTGTGGCTACAAGAGGGATGAGTTTACTGTGTATTTCTGTCTGCGCAGTCTGCGCATGGGCCCGCTTGTTTATATTTAATTGAAATCAGAAAATGTCTTAAAAGATTAAAATTTGTATAAATCAGTTTTTATACATGCATATATATGTATTTAGGTATTTAGATTTTACTTAAAAATCGGAATGTACATACATGCATATTTAATTAGGCTTAAAATTGTACTCCCCATTTTTGTACTTCACTTCATTGACTGACTTCTGGTCTGATTATGCATACTTCGCATAACTTCGCATAACTTCGCACAACTTCGTATAAACTTCAAACTGTAATTTCGTATGTACTTTGTATGTATTCCATCACCCAGAAATTAGCAGAACTTTTAAGAACTTAGCGATCTGTTGAGTTTAGATTTTGCTTCACATTTTCTTAAGTTACATTTTTAGTGCACTGGTACAAATGGTTGTGCGATGTTATGCGAAGTATGCATAATCAGACCCTACAACTTCGCAAAACATGATTTTTGTGCGAGACAAATTTCCACAGAAAGTAACGGTAGAAAAAGAATTTTTGGATACTCATTCTTAGGGACACGATATCGAACCGAAAGTATCGATTTAAATGAGTAAAGCATCGCTTTAAAAATATCGGGTACCCATTAATATCGGAATAAAAAGACTCGATATTCAAGATATCGATACCAAAAACCAAAAAATTTTGTCTGAATATAGGTCTTGCATATACGCCGTTGTGGTGCAGTGGTTAAAAGTGCGCAAGCCTTGAAAAGGAAAAACAGCTGTTCAGAGTCGACATAAAACTGAAGGAACCTCCTTTGTGCCACAACATTAAGGCGCACGCGACAAATCGGAGGAGAAGTTATTTTAAAACGTAGAAATTGAGGTGTTGACTTATAACACCAAGGCCGCGGGTTCAAATCCCACCGCATGCAATCCTAACTATAGCTCAGATTTCTGCTCTTTAAAGCCCAATTTATATCGGCAAGAATTGTTACAGGCAAACCTAATATGCGTGCGTAAAAAGCTAACTCAAATTCCAAGATTTGTCTTGCGTGACATTTCGATTTGAGGTTTATGCTCAATTGGCATTTTGGCGCGACTATGGATTCAAATTTTTCTCAGCAAACTTTTTTTAAATTTGACAGAAATGCAACTCTGAGCAATCACGCACGCAAATTGATTTCGGTTTATCAAATGAGAAAAAAACTTGCGTGCGTGCGTAGAAAAACTCTCGCCGGTAATATTAGGTTGAGTTGTTAATAACATTATTCTTGTAATGTGAGTTTATGACATTCGATGCGATACTAGGGTTCTGGTACTCGATTCCAAAAAATATCGTTTTAAAACTATCGAGTAGAAAATATCGGTATCGAATGCCAAAAGTATCGATATGGTATCGTATCGTATCGAAATTCGTGTCCCCACTCATTCTATTTTTCAGCTGACTACGATGCAGTGTTCTACTTTGCAGTCCGCGAAATGAAGCAAAAAAGCGAATTAAAAAAATATTATAGGACGTTCTACTTTGTATTCCCCGAAAATAAACGAAGAAGCGAAATAAATAAAATGTTGTAGGACATTCTACTTTGCATTACCGGCAATGCCTAAAAGAAGCGAAAAAATTCGAAGGCATTATAACGCTATGCCTTCTAGAACACGTTACCACTAAAAGCGATTACCGATTTTTTGCTGGGTTCGTTTTTAAAAAAGCTTGTCTTCGAATTCAGCGTACATGCACGATTGGTAAGGTATACATATGTATGTATGCAGGTATGTAAATGCGGGTTCGCTTTTCGCGCGACAAACTCTTTTAAAAACGGTGTAAATCAGTAAAAATTGTTATGTAGTAATTTTCATTAGAGTTTGGGTAACTCCTTTTACTAATTGGCTTTTAGTAACTTTAACGCAAGCCTAACTTATTTTATTAACCGACTTCCAAAAACGGAGGAGGTTATCAGTTCGTCGGATTTTTTTTTATGTATGTTACCGCATAACTTTGGACCATGTCAACCGATTTCGATAATTTTTGCATCGGAAAACTAGTGTCTCAGAGGTGGTCCCATACTAATCTGGTTTAGATCCGATCATTGGATCATGAAATATATATAAATATATTTTTTATATGAGAATTGAAGTCGTTTTTTTTGCTAAAAATTACTTGTTGTGTTAATTTAAGTGCAGTTTTTACAAAATTTTCTTGCTAAGAAATCTTTTGTTACACTACTTTATTTTGTTCTATTGATTGTAAATGATAAATAATAAATTTGTATTAAAAAAAAATTTTGCCCCATAATTTTATTTTTAATTTTAGTTCAGTTTTTGCAAAATTTTCTTGCTGAAAATCTTTTGTAATTGACACAGTTATGAAATTTTTACACAACCTAGAAGAAAATGTAGCGGTCATTTCAACATTGGCTTCGGGTAAAAATGTTTAAATAATTGAAAAACGAATATCTTGCCTCCCCATTCATAATGAATGGTGGAAGAGGATGGTCTTCTGACTCGACAACTTGGCCACTCTCCAGCATACGGCAGCCGTCGTTAACCCATGTATTCTACCTTCGTTGTGAATTCGAAATCCAGCCCATTCTTGATGCAAATTTTTATGAAAAAGATCTTATCTTTCCAATAGAGAATGGGCTTCACCACAAAGTAAAGCTATTTAAAAAAAACACATACGCGTCAGACAATTAAAAAATAATTGCTTTTAAAAACTTGAAATAAGCTTTTTGCTAACTAACTAAAACTAATCTTATTGAAAGTTTATTCCAAAAACTCCTTTAGATCAGATTACAGCTATGTATGTATTAAGAGCAACGACTATTCAATTTACAAATAGGAAGAGGTCAAAAAAGCAAAGGAATCTGATTTTTGTTTCCTTTTTGCGTCTGCTTTGAGAATACATACTTGGAAGTACGAGTATTATCGATACTTTTTTGAAAATATGAGAACTGGCATCGATACTTTTTTAGAGTATTCTAATATGAGTACTAGTATCGATACTTTTCTAAAAAGTTCTATCACTAAGCATCAAATATGTGTAACTTGACACCGGATTGTTTGGAAGCTATATTTGCTAAAGCACATACACTGTGCCGCTGTGGTGTAGTGGTAAGTAGTGCGCGCTTCCACTCCACAATGCCTGGGTTCAAACCCTGGTCAAAGCAACATCGCAAAAATATAGAAAAAAGTTTTTTACTTAACAGCGGTCGTCCCTCGGCAGGCAATGGCAAACCTCCGAGTGTATTTCTGCCATGAAAAACAGCTTCTCATAAAAATACAATCGCCGTTCGGAGTCGGCGTAAAACTGTAGGTCCCTCCGCTTTGTGTGACAACATCAAGGCGCACGCCACAAATCGGAGGAGAAGCTCGGCCAAACACTAACATATGTGTAGGCGCCAATCTATTATTATTACATACACTTTGAGCCCACAAACCGGCTGTCGAGTAGCGGAAAACTTATCACTAAAAGCGAAATTATATTAAACATAATAACAAAAACCAGTTCACTTAAAATCAAATAATATTAACAATTTATATAATAGCCTTCATAGAACACAAAACTTAAACGTACTTGCCTTTAATGAAATTCAATTTCATTATTTATCGGAAATTGATTTGCTATTTAAAAAAAAATGACTCGAAACCTGAAATAAACTACTTTTGTGAAGCATTATGTAAGATACCTCTTTTTAAAAAACCACAGAGTGCAGGAATTCGTAACATATTTCATATTGTGACTTATTTAAATTGATTTTGGAAAATATTTCGTGTGGCTACTGCAATTCATAAAGCAGTAGAAGAAATTTTTCTCAAAGCGGAAGCGCTGCACCACTAACGCTCCTTTATATCTAAAAAATTTACTTCCAAAAAACCGAAAGAGATATTTTAACTTACAGATCAAAAATCTAAAAGGTTAAAGTAAGCACAATACCACATCACTTCACACTTGATTTTGATTTGGTTTGAAACAAATACGATATTGTGTTTTTTTCTTAGTGTAGGATTATGTACAACCAAGATCAATCACCTGCTGTAAAAATCCATTGAATTAATTCCATTGAAATGTTTTATAAAACGTTTGGTCATTAATTCGTTATTCTAATAAAGTCCCTTATGGCTTTCTGATCTTTTTCAGGTGGAACTTTGTCAAGAAGAATAAGCTCTATCAGTTGCCATCAAACATAAAAAAAGCTCTAGCTCAGTTGATTGATGCATATGGGGAAACATACATATGTATGAATACATATAAAAATATAATACGTTATATAGTATATAGCGAATTAAAAATATTTGTAAAAACCACCAAAGTTGAAACTAATTGTCCAAGAATACTGATACCAAAAACATTAAGAAAATATGATGGGGCCATGAGCCCATCATTATTTGAATTAAATTGGAGTCGCAAGCGCGTCTCAAGCGGGCCTGCACCATGCTAGCACCGCCGAACCCGAGGTCAATATGCGGCCAGGACCCGGGCTGGTCGTGATGGCGCTTGCGTTTATTTCGGGGGCTCGGCGTGGCAGCACCAGCACCAGTTCAAAATCATCTTCATCAACTACATCGACATCGTCGACTTTTTTCACCTCTACTCCATTAGACAACAGCCCTGAACCAACGACACCTTCATTACTGTTTCCGGCATATCTGGGTGGAGGGGGCGTGCCTACGGTAGAAAGTAAAGCCTCTCCAAACCATCCTCAACAAGAAGCTGAAGGGAAAAAATATCACATAGAGAATTACAACTATTTATATAAAAGCTTTCTTTATTTGCCCCCATTCGCACCGCCGATAGAGGGAACAACCCACGACGTCCAACATCTACGGTTAGAAACACTTTCCGGCTTAAAGTCGTCTTCACGGGCTACCAGGCAAACGAGAATAATACGTGACCTAAACGAAGACGAAAGTAACCAGAAGAAAGAAATAGACGGTGGAGGTGGTAACGCTGATACCAGTGCTGGCAGCAACGTGAGTAAACGGGGAAGCGGTGTTGGATCCGAAAGCGGCAGCGGGTATGATATCGAGGACGGTCCAACTAGTACGGAAGACAAGACTAGTGAATTCAATGAGGCTGCTAGTACCAGCGCCAGTAGAGATTCTCAAGGGCTTCCCGTAAAGTTTGCTTCCAATCCATCGGACGCATCACAGTCCTTCGACGAGGACGATATATTAGCTCTGGTTGCCGAGGACGATCTTTTGTCGGAAGAATCGTTCGATCGGCTGACTAAATTTACTAATGATAAACTTGGTTACGTCATTGTGGACGATTATGATGCCTCAAACAAGGACTCAATTAGTGGTGTGAGTGAGAGCTCATTAACTAGTGCTGTTGAAGATGATGAACAACACCCGCAGGACCATAATTATACAGCCAACGAAAGAAATACTGGCATTGAGATTGGTATCGTAGAAAACGATGATTTTCAACACGAGGAAGAACATGCAAATGAGAAAAATGAAGTCAAGATTAATGTAAAGACAAACATCAACCAGTACGCTAAAGAGAGCGTTTATTCGGGGCAGAAGGAAAACAATTATAAACTAGCAATTGGCGACATTTCATATGTGGCAGCGATAAGTGACAATGGTTTGAGTCACACTATTGCGGCGGACAGTGACATCAGTGTTCCAAATACCAAATGGTCGATATTCGAAAGCGAGTCGCCACTGACTCGACTTAATCCTTGGATATCAGCCTGTGATCTAGCACAACCTGGTACAGCACCAGATTTACAGGTAATTTCTATTCATAAATACGTAAATACATATAAAAGTATCCATTTCTATACATTATAGTGCACGAAAATGTCGGCGTTTTTTTTATATGCATATCTTTTCCTTTCAGCCTAAATAACTCGTGTACATACAAATGCGTGTATAAAGTGTGCTCGAGAAGCAATTTCCCACAAGGACCGCTTTCTCGCGATATTCCCTAATATCGTAAAGCTCGTTATTCAGGGTGTTAGAACCATTAAATGTACTCGTCTCCATTCAGAAAATAAACCATGCATTTTTTCTGTTCCATTGAGGTCTACATTGTCTACCGTTCTAATGATGATGATTTGCAAATACCATATTCTACTGTTCACCAATCGACCGTGAAAGATAGTGGAAATAAAGTCATCAAAGTTTATTTACTACTTGCTGTATTTTCATAGAAATTATTAACTAAATGCTTTTTTCACAATAGAATGTTAAATGCATAAATTGTAAGTTTTTTTTTTTATTTTTTAACACACCCGGTATGCTCGCATGTCTAGTTAAATACCTGAAATTTCTCGGGAGAATGACGGTACCCGAGATCGTATCGATAATTCGATTGAACATTTGCTAAAGAACTTCAACTAAGACCACCTTTCCGTTAGGCAATCATTATATAACTGCTCAGTCAAACGAGTTAGTTAGGGCAATTTAAAGCAGCTATAGAATTAATTTTCCAAAAATTTATGAAAAACCAATTTTTGCTAAGTCGCCTTTGTATCAATTTTGAGTAAAAATTTATGACTTCCTTAGGCGCACTGCTCATAATATCTGAAAATCTATACATGTAAATTCAATTCGTATTTCTACTTAAATTCCTTAACTTCGACGCTTTTTATCCGATTTCATTGAGTAAGGTATCAGTTTGTCTAAAAATAAATTTCGTTTAAGACAAATACTGAATATTTGGCAACTTTCATACAAATTTTTTAATTTAGCGATGGTAAAATTCGAAAAATTAAGAAATAAAGTGGTGTTTTAAGTCCTGCTCTGTATAAAAATGTTTACAAAATGTATAAGAAAAATTAATATAACGAGATTTTTGGAGGAATTTGCATTTTTTTTCCTTCTATTTTTACGGAAGTCTTAATACATATGGCTCATTTCACGGTAATCGATACCGAACAAAATGAAAATAAACTGAAGATTTTGAGTGTATTATTTAGGGATGTTAGTGGAAAAAATTCATCTATGTTTTTCTTTGATTCGATGCATCGAAATGTACATCGATATTTTTCGATGCATCCAAAGGCATACATCGATGCATCGATTTGCATAGGATTTTTCAGATGATGTTTCACAACAAAATATGTTATTAGCGAAATTGTACAAAGTTAGAAATAAATTACTGCGACTGAGCTAATTATTACCTTGTTTATACCGACACATAAAGCGCCTGGACCCAGTTCGCTGTGATTCAAAACGGAAGCATAAACCAAATTTCAATACGCTCAGAAATTCAAAAGTGTATTGACTCGATTTTGTTTTCAAATCGGTGTTTTGTTTCTCACATCGGTTAGAAAATAGGTATAAACACATCACTCATTTGACGCGAAGTGAAAAAAGGCTGGTTTTCTTCATACAGCCCGTTTTAAATTTTTTATTATTATTATATAAATATGAATTATAGTTCGCTTCCATTTCGGTCAAGCGCGTAAATTAATTATTAAAGAAATATGGAAAGAAAACAACAAATTTTGTTTACTTTTGAATACGGTTTCAGCGAGGGCGCTAAAAAGACACAGGTATAAACTTTTGAAAGAAATATGTGTTGAGTCAAATCGTTTTATTGTAAATGCGGTTCTTACATTGGTATAAACAAGGTATATGTTTCTAACGGAACATTTTGAAGCCATTTAATTTTTTTGTTCAAAGTCACTCCCTTTTTTGTACAATTAAAAAAATGCACAACAGACGTCAGAAGCAAAACATATCGATATTTACGATGCATCGATGTTTTTTCAGACATCCCTAGTATTATTTCCAGTAAGTAAGAGTAATTTTCAAGGTTTTCGGGCAAGTACTGAATATTTTATTAATTATTGAAGCAAAGTGTAAAAAAGCTGACGAAAGTAACGCTATGAAACAGGCGAATATGTGCGAATTGCTTTTGAGTATTTGTATACTGTTCTTTTCGAGAAAAAGAAACGATCACGCCCGTCACATGTCACACCCGTCACAATTAAATTAAAATTTGTAACTGAGTCAGAATTTCTGAAACGGGCCACTTGAATTATGTGATATTTTATTTCCCATCAGTTGTGGTATTTTTTGATAGCCATTGGCAATACAAACAAATGTGTAACTTTGCTTTTACAAAAAAAAAAATTTTCTTATATATCGACAAGTGTTTTTTTTTACCACTTTTAAATACCACTTCTGATTGGAAATAAAATATCACATAATTCAAGCCTTACGGCGTCTACAAGCAGAGCTGTGTAATGATTGAATTAATCGCGTGTGCATTCTCATTTTATTCGTTTAAAAAATGTGATTGTTTGATTTTAAAAATTTAACAACCACTCTTGAGGTTACAAATTGTAAACACAAAATATGTAGTGTGTTATGGAATGGTCGAGATCCATTCACATAGAGAAGGTGAATGCAAATAAATAAAATTATAGTTTAAAAAACTAAAACCTCCTATTATAATTGCCATTCGTACTGTCATCAGGTATGTAACTTGAGAATAGAAATCGCTGCATCTTTTAGGCGCATCAATATTACATAGTTACATCCCGAGCTAATAAAAGGAAGGTAAGAAACCCAATCATGTATGAGTGTACGTTTATGTGATTGCAATCTCTCATTATCATTCAGTACTAATACTATTTGTTGTATCAGGGTTGAGTTTTTTGAACTCATAATGTGAAGATTGCCATCTACCTTAAAATAAGTAAACAAATAAATATTTGCTGCTAAAATATTTTTCTAAGTGTTTAGCCGAGCTTCTCCTCAAACTTGGGGCATGAGTCTTGTTGTTGTGACACAAATGGAGACACCTACATTTTTAAGGCTAAAAGCTCAAACAGTCAACGACGTAACGTAGACGTAGGTTGACGCAGACACGATCTACCTTATGGGATTCGCGTGTTAACCAAAACTCACCACCGCATGGCGGTGACGTTGCCGTTGCTGCTCTCTCTCTCTATCAACAGTAAATTTGATATGCTGCTACGTACGTCAACCTAAGTTTACGCTACGTCGTTGACTAACTGAGCTTTAACTCCGAACGCCAAATGATTTTATAAGAAGAGTTTTCAAGGCAGAAGTATACTCGAGGGTTTGCCACTGCGTGCCGAAGGACGACAGGTTTACAAATATATTAGCACTTAAAATTTGTGTTTTAATAAAGTATTAATTAAATAAATTATTATCGAAAATTATTATTTTAATAAATAGATGTAAAAATTTTTATATATGGTAACTCTTAGACTTTTCTTTATTTGTAGCAAATGACAGATGTAAACAAAATAAAAATAATAATTGTAATTTTACAAATTTAAAGCAAACGGGCGTTCTTTACAAAAAAATATAGTTAGGGATCGAATTGCGCATATTTTTTTACAATACCAAGCGCCTCCAAGAAGTATTAAACCACTAAATAGCTTAAAAAACGTTTTCAGAAATTCGAAACAAGGGTGAAGTGCAGTGTTCAATTGTGTGCGAAACCGCAGGCAAAATTTGTGCGTGTGTAATTAATGTTTTATATGAAGAAATGTTGCCCCTTATCATCAGAAATAAGCAAACCAAAGACCCCCGCTTCCCACTGGTTGTTACATAATAACTGAATAGCCGCTTAATGACCTTTTGCTTGTTTTGTGCACGCATGGCCAGTTAAGGTACGGTGACCATATTAACCAACGTAAAATAAAGGCATTATTTTTTAAAATGAGTTGGGAATACGTACATACAACTTGTATGATAAAAGTACCTTACCCATATCGTAATTTAAATCAGATATTTACCAGTTAATTAACCGACTCCGAAAAATGAAGCCAAATCGTTTTCCAGGACTTCGCCATCCTTTGCTGCCAAAATGCGTTTACCATAATTCATACTGCACGCCGAAGCCAGGACACAGTGGTTAAAAATTGGAATTTAATGTTCATATTTTTCAACCAATTTTTACTAAAAAAAAATACTTTGGTGAACATTTTTTATAACATTTTTTTTGTTTGTTTGTAATTCTTTCGTTTTGGGAGAACCATACAATTGTTTTCAACTAGTCTTTGTTATGCAATATTTATTAACTGGAACAGGAGAATACATTTTCTTTAAAATTGCCACTTTTTCTGCATTTTTCACTAAAAAATTTAATACAACCAAATAAAAATTTACAAATCAGGCCCAACTGGTCTCTTGCAAATATTATAAGCTTTCATAAAAAAAAATGATCAAATTAAGTGACAAAAAATGAAGGCTCCAGTGAATTACGAACACTAAATGCCAGTTTTGAGCCACTGAGCGATAGGGGGTTTATTGTTCTCCTTCAGTGGAACTGGAAACTCAGCGTGCATCACGTTCCTGGGCACAACTTTCCCTGTGCTTTATAGATTGTACAAAGATTACCGATTAAATAAAAGCCCGTAAGTGGGATGCGAAACAAGCTGACGAAGGCTTTCATTCTATTTTATAAGGGACATTTTTATTTTTCATATTCTATGTTTAAAAATTTACCTCTCAAAAATGCAGAGCTGATTTAAATGACAGTTCAAGAAATAAAGGACAAAAGGCGTCCTAAAATAAAGGACTGTCCTTTAAAATAAAGGATGGATGGTCACCGTAAGTTAAGCAGGCATATCTGAATCGATTTCCTTCATCATTCTTAGCAATTTAATGTGCATTTTTATTATTATCTGTTGCTAACAGACATTTTGGTAACTCAATCTGTGTACACAAGCGGTAGTAGAATAGTAGCTTATATCGATAGGCTGGCTTTACTATAATGCGGCATTCCCTTAATTCTACGACAC